CCAGGCTGCCCAGTCCACTCCCGTGGACTCCTGTATTTATAAAGGTGTGGGCTGCTTTGCTGGCATTCCCAACTCATTTCCACAAATGCTTTAATGAAAGGAAGCAGAGCCTAGTCAGTTTCCCTTACTGTGAATCTCCTACCTGGCTACTTCTTCAGTTGCTTTGCAGTGTTGGTAAATCCCTGGGAGGAATACTCCCTCTCCCGTTGCCTGTCTGATTGTGTTCCCCTGTAGAGAAAGACCCCTGTGGGTAGAATCTGTGCCAATCCCACTTGAGAGGTCGAGCAACCCTGTGGCCACAGAACTTCCTGGACTTCCCATAGCCCAGGGCTCTAATAAACAGAAATTCTGCCAACCGTGCTGGGCCTCCTGCAGTAAGCAAAAACTTTCAGATTAAGATGAAGAAATGGATGACCTTTATTTTGTCAGCACCGCACTCTCCCGAGTGAGCCACAGGCCGGCCCCACACGACCTTTATCTTGTGTGTTAAATCATCCTATGGGAATTTAATTACAGCAAGAATTAGAATTATTTTTATTAGAGAGTTGGTTTTTTTCAAGGAAAGGTTCTTGATAGTTTTTGAAGCAAATTTGATGTCTTTCAAAGAGTTGTTCATCCCTAATTATGTTTTTTAACTATGCCATATTATGTGAATAGGGAGCACAGGCACTTCTTAAAAATCTTTAAGTCACACCCTAGGTGCTTCGAAGCTGCTTCAGGCATGGCGCAAATGTGGGTGACAGTACAGGTTCCCCCTTAATCCCAGCTAACTTCCTAAAGGGATATATCCTTCCCCACAAAGATGGCTCTCCTCCACCAACGTTTTCAGAACGCAGAAGAACGGCACTGATCACAGCTCAGCAAATCCAAAACTGCAGCAGGACCAACAGCTCAGTACACATCTTAGTTGTCCTCTTCAATAAAATCCAACATCTACACACAAACCAAAACCCGGTTCTGAAACACAGAGCAAAGCCGGGGCTACCAACTGGTTTTCAGAACACATCTTGAAAACTAGAATGGGAAAAATGACTTAGACAATTCAGAGGGCCCCACCATTAATATATTATTGAAATATCCCCCTAACCAAGTTACTATTTTTTTGGTTGCTATTGAAGCTTATATCTCTAAATGTAGAACTTTTAGGGAAAGTAACTTCTCTCTGAATTCTAAATCATTATCAGGGTATAATAAAACGAACCTAAATGCTCAGGTCATTAAGTGTTTATTAAATCAGAAATCACGGGGCCAGCCTGTGGCTCACTCGGGAGAGTGCGGTGCTGATAACACCAAGGCCCTGGGTTTGGATCCCATATAGGGATGGCCAGTTTGCTCTGGGTGAGCGTGGTGCTGACAACACCAAGTCAAGGGTTAAGATCCCCTTACCGGTCATCTTTAAAAAAAAAAAAAAAAAATGATAAATCAGAAATCACAAATGAAGTCACAACTTGTTTGCTATAAAAGTTATGTGATAATACAGGTATTAAATTGCTTGTCTAATTATACCATTACAGCTCCTTTTTCACTCCATTATCCTCACACAATTCTCTCGGTATCCAGGCATACACAGGCATCCAGTTACTAAAATTTCCAGCATGACTGGAACGTCCAGGTAAACAGTAGTGGGGTACAAGAGAGGCTATGGGGCCCCTCTTCAAATAGCTTCGACAAAATAAATGGCCATAAGTAAAAAGTGTCCCTATGCTTTGCTATAATAAGACTCAAACACAGGATTCCAGGAATTCCACCTGTTTCCAATTAGATACCAGAATTGCTTGAGTGTTTAAACTACATTCAGTTGCTACTTACAGAAAACAATTCTTCTGGGTTTTTTGAACATTTTAAATATGTTAAAATAAGATTAGGGGTCTGGTTTAAACAATCAGAGGCAGAGAAATTTCAGCTGAAACTAAAACTATCTCTCTGCTGTGATAATGCAGAGCTTCAGACAAAACAAAAGAACTAGACAGGCAAATTTCTGTCTGACAAATAAAAATCAGACTTTTCATAGGGAGAGCAATTATATTTTTGAAAGTTATATGTTGAACAATTTTAAATAGGTTTTAAATAATTTCTATAATAACTTATGATCCTGTATATTAGAAAAACTTTTATATTAACTTTTACATAGCATTTGTTGTATATATAGTCCATCAGATACACCTGTCTTTTACATAAGTGACATTTACATGAGCCAAATGTGTGAACTATGAAAAATGGAAGCACAGGTAGGAATTTAGCTTAGCTCTGTAGGATTTTTCATAGGATGAATTTGTCTTTTTAAAAAATTTACAAGTTTTCCCCTAACAAATCTGTCCTTCCTTCATTTCACTGTGGATGTTCTTTGTGCTTTCCAAATGAGCCGAAATGAACAAGGATTTTCTACATCTAGCCTTTTCTCCACTAAGGCAGAGAACGTAAGCTCAGCCTCAGAACAGTTTTGACTGTTAACTGCTTATAGGTACCCGCGAGGGACAGCACCAGAGTACAAACTATTGTTTCTGTACAGCTCCCACATAAATCCTGGTAGGTTTGTCTTAATTGTACAGCAATGAGAGAGGACTTTTTAAACAGCCATTAAAGGTCTTGGGCTCAATAGGTAAGCCAGACAGCATTTTTAAGGTTAGCTCAGCAGATTAGGAGAGAATTAATTCCTGAGGGGATGGGGCTGTTTGCCCCCTTTCCCTTTCCCACTTTCGTATATTAGCTAACTACTGATGATACATGAAATTGGGGGTGTGGGCAAAGGGGTCTCTGTGGACCCAACTTTATCAGGAGTTGCTGCATTAACTCTATCCCTTCACTGACTTACACCCTAAAAACAAAAACAAAACAAAACAAAACCATAGTTTCACACAGGAAAAAACTTTAATCAACTCCCGATGACCCTTACCCACACCCAATCTCAAAAACACCGATATTAAAAGTACCAAGAAAACAAATACAGGAGCAGCAAGCAGTGTAATTTGTTTTTTCGTTATTTTATAAAGGGTACTAGATGGGATATTTTAATTAAAATATACTTATGATGGAGAACGGGAACATACACATGTCCACAACAGAAAACAAAGCAACTAGAAAATGGACTTTTAGCAAAACTAAAATTGCTTTCTGATTTTGCAAAAGAGGATAACTTTTTAAAAGTTTACTTTTGCAGAGGCTCTTGAAGGGGGAGCACTGATCACCATGCAGAAATAATGCTCCAAAGGGAAGCCGGTCACTGGCAGGCCCCATCCCCGAAAAAGTTCAAAGCTCCACTAACGTACAGAGTTACATGAGCTTGTTTTAGAAAGTACCCTCTTTCCAAGAGTGTATTTAAAAGGTAAATTTATACAATGGTGTTTTTCTTATTTAAAAAAAAAAAGCCTGGTTTTTACAAGTCTGGGATAGAATAAAAACTTGTCCAACTAGTCTTAGCAACGCCAAAGCACTGAAGCTTCCATACCACAAGCCTTTGGGACTAAAAAAGAAACAAAATAGAACACAATCTTCAGAAATGCTCCTCCTGGGCACTTACTCTACCTCCCAAAGCAGCTTCAAGACCAACGAAGCAGAGGGACAAGGACGTAGCCCTGGTTCCCCAGGTGGGTGAAGAGGCCCTCATCTACCTGATCTTACCTGGACCTTGCTGACATCTCTCACCCGGATTTGTCTAGCTGAGACCCAGCCTCTTCACCCTCAGGTGGCAATGCCACAACCTACACAGGACTCTGCCAGCAACCCGATCTTAGCATAAAGGGGTCTGGAAAGATGAGAAGAGTCTGAAACTAATGAATTCTCTCTCAAACTGCAGTCTCATTGGTTCACTGTCTGTGGGAATAGAAGACACTCAACCAGACACTAACACAAAAGGCCTCCGCAGGGCCCAAAGAAAGAACCAGTTTGACCTTATACTTGAACTCTGGTATTCCATATTCAACTGAAGTTTTCAAACATGTCATGAAGAAGCGGCCATAGGAAGTCACCTAAGGCCAAATTGTTATCCACCACCAGCAGGCAACGCATGCTCAGTAAAGAGAATGATGCTCAGATAAAGGATTTTGGTTTGTTTTCTTAAGATCAACATAAAGTTCATTCAAGTAACTGACAAGGAAACTTTCAATCAAATCCTGAAGCCACACAGTTAAATCAGTTAAATAACAACCCCATGATCCCCTGAAGAAGTAGCTATCACTGGAGGGGGTGGGGGGTGGGGGCTACAAAGAATTCATAAAATCCAATAACTCTCTAGAAACCAAATCCATTTCCTAGGCAGTTTTGCCAGAATGCTTAAAAAATAAATTTCATTGAAATTTAAGCTAGGATGTCACATTTAGGAAAACACGAGAAAAAAAATTAAGGTTTGTCTCTTAAAACTCCACAACGGGTTTTACAGTAAGCACAGGAATTAAATTATGGTAAAAGGGAGCTATTTTTACTAAAACAGGGTAGACCAATTTATCAAAAATGCCATTCGGCTGTGTTCATTACATTCAGGAATCTAATTTACACAATAGACATTTTGGCGTAATCTATTTTAGTCAATAAATACTCAAACTCCTTTAAGTTTTAATCTTATCGGAAATGCATATTTCACATAGTCTTCTTCCTAGTTAATCGAGAAATTTGAGGAAATTTCATAACAACTATGAGTCTGCTTTATCGTTCTTACGAAGGCAAGGGCAGAAAACAAGCATATACAATTAAAGTTGTCAGACTTCATTTATATATGTTTTAATCTCATCCGCTTCATTCCATACAAGTCTGCATCTGGAGTTCATCTGCTTTACTCCTAAAGGTACCTTAGGTCACTGTCAGCAGTCCTCCGGGTTAGGAAAGTTCAGCCAAGTTTACCTTTTAGGCACACCTTAAGAGTTGGGAGCAGTAGCTGTTCCCCTAGTAAACTGCGAGACCCCGGAACGCCAGGACGCCCTGGGCCCTTCTAAACTGCAAGATATCCCCACGCCCCCCCACGCGCGCACCCCAGCGCTCACGGAGCTTTTGGCCCACAAGCCGCTCACCTTCAACTTGGCTCCGGCTACGCACAACATCCACCTGGCAGAGTCCCGGGGCTGTCCAGAAGCAGCGAGCGCGAGGCTGGCACGTGCGGGGCGGACCCCGAGGGCGCGTCGCTCCTCTGGGTGAGGGGTGGCAGGCAGGAACGCGCCCCCTGGACACGGCGGCAGCTTAGGCACGGGATGGGGAGCCCCGACACGATCCCCCCACGGCGACCGGGGCTCGGCGCGCGAACCACCGCCTGGCCCGCCACAGACCACAGGGGCCCCCCGGGCTTTGCTTTCGAGAACCCGACCCGGGACCTCGCAGCGCCCCTTTCGCTCGCCCTCGTGCAGGGCGCCAAGCGCGCGGAGCCGCTGAGACCACCTGCCCGAGCCCCGATTCCTCTCGACCCAGGCCCACGGCAGCGTGGGGGAGCGAGGTGCGCTGGCCGCGGGCAGAGGCACAGCGACCCCTCTGCGCCCAGCCAGCACTCGGAGACCGAGGCGGCCAGGAACAGCGTTTCATGTTGGGGAGAGTGGGGTTGGGGGGGAAACCAGCTCTGACCCTAATGTCGCTGAGCACGTTAATGTTCCACACTCGGGCCGCGCAGTCCCTGCGAAGCACGAAGGCGCAGCGGAACGGCGGTGGCGCAGGGGTCCCGGCAGCCCCCATCCGCCCAAACTGCTCCAGCTTAGGCCACGACAGGAAAAGTCTTGGAGCACAGTTCTGTGTCCCCCCGCACCGCTTCAGCGGAACGGCCCAAGAAACTTCCTGCGGTTCAGACACCGCGGTTTTTACTCCTTTGAGTGCAGAAACTTGGAGAGTGTGGGTGCGCTTACTTAAAACAGAAAGCATGGTCCCATGTTTACAGAAATGCTAAATTTTTAACTTAAAGATAAGTTCTCTTTTGATTTCTTAGCAGAAACCTGGCAAAAGCACAGGTTTTGTGATCGTCATCTTTAATTGATTATACACACACGTGCGAGTTTCAGTTTCCAGTAGGAATATTGTACTTTTACTCTCCCGCACTTCATTTAATGTGTAATTAGTTAAACAAATCCCCAAATTCCTTAATCTTCAAAATTATATGTAAATAAAATATGTATGAAATACAAAATAAAACATGTAAACGGAAAATAATTGCTTTTCAACTGAGTTCGAGGGTTTAGCGCTGATTAGTGGAGTGAATTCGGCATTTTTGAAGGAAGGGACTGGAAATGAAAGTCCCCGATTTTTAGAGAATCTCAGGTCTCGGCCCGTTGGCCAGCGGCCTGTTTCATCAAGGGGAAGCTTCTGAGGCCGGGAGGGGTTCACTTTGCGTTCTCATGGCAGCCTTGACTCGCGGGAGGGGCAAGAAGCAGGTGGGTTGGGAGCGCGCGGGTGTTGGGGGCGCGTCGCGAGCCTCGGCCCCAGATGCTGTGACGCCACGCCGGGTAGGGCACTACAGAGCTCGGGTGGCCGAGGGCTGCCTGGGGTGGGGCGCCGGAGCCCGCGCGAGCAGCCAGCCCGCGGTCGCGCTGCAGCTCCGACCGCACCGCCCAGTAGAGGGCAGCGGCGCCCAGACACTCGGGTTCTCGGGTCCCCGTGCACGTGCCCACCAGCGCGCCCCGGCCCCTGCGCCTGGCCACTCCCTGTCCCAGAGCCAGGCTCCTGGTGGGAAGCGGCATGGCCATCTCAAGCCATTCCTGACCCGATGAAATGTCACTTCTAACGATTCTTCCCCCATCCCACACTTGGGAGTAGCCTGCCCTCCCTTCGTATTTGTGCGGTGGCAGGCAGGCGAGACCTGAGAATTGCCTTAAAGGTGGCTAGACATATAAAATGTGCATGGGCTTTAAAAAAAAAAAAAAAAAAAAAATCCTCCCGTGGGAAAGCTCAAGGAAGGATCAGGGAAATGGTTTGGATTTGGTGCAGATGTTCTCAATCTAATTATCGTGTCGATCCCCTGGGTTTGAACCAAAAAAGTGAAATATATATGACCTGTGTAATACTCCAGAAGTACATCTGGTTGGAATTCAAGGTTCTGAAGCCACAGCAATATTTTAGAAATAAATTTGATGAGTATTAAATACCGTTGTTACATTTCTGGTTATATTTATATTATTTACATGCTAACCTGACTTGGTAGAGAAAAACTACATTGGATGACCCAGAGGTTAAGCATTATTTAAATAAAATTTAGATTTCTTCTACTAAAGTTTTGGGTTATGCAAGCCTTATTGCTCTCCATAGAGGGAGAGAAAAAGTTTAGAATAACTTTGCCAGCACCGCACAATGTTACCATTTTAAAAGAAAAATCACTGGAGATAAACTACTGACCAAAAATTGTCTTAGCTAAGTGAAGTAATCAGTAAGGATCTAAAACAACAACAAAAAATACTTTTAAGAGTACGTTTTATTTTTCTTGAGCATGTATAGACATAGAATAATAGCAAATTATATCTATTTTCAAAGACCATTTTCTTTCTTTTTTCAGATTGGTTTTCAGCCTCACCATTGTAAAAGCTCAGGAGCCCCCACTGACATCCAAATATAGTGTACTACACAGCTGTGTACTGTAGAAAATATATAGAAAGTGGGAAGGTTTTAGGACCTAGATTTCCACTGGTATCTACAAAAATATTACAATAATGACTATGACCTCCCAGAACACAGCGCGAGAAAGGGGTGTGTTAGCAAGATAACTGACCCAGTACAGAGAAGCACCTTGACTCGTAATTGATATTACTTAGAATGAAGAACAAGAAAAATGATACAGAGGTATTTGGTCACTTTTTCATGTGCAGGCTCTCCCTTTAGGGGAAGAAAGCTCACAGTTTACAAGTACATGACTAACTCGCCACCCCAAGCTTTCAAAATCGAGTTCCCAGTAATCAGATGGGGAGACTTACCAAATGTTTGTTCCTGACACCTTTAAATGAAATACAGCTTAGCACCAAATAAGGCAACTAAACAACTCATATATGAGCCCAGAATATCTACATCTCTTTTCTTACGCACTTTATTTTGCCTGAAAAAAAATGAGTGGCCACATTGGGGGGTATGATAATACTAATTAATGTAACTTACAGAAAATTGTAAAGCACTTTTAGGAGTTCACTCTTCCCTATCCTAGCATTGGTGGTTTCTCCTCTCCCCAGTTATTTACATATAGTTTATTAAATCCATTAAGGTAAAAATGGGCAAATTCTCCAAAATACCATATGAGTTGATTATTACTAAATTGGTCCTCTTTCAGTAGCCCCAATGCATTGTGTTGTTTTCTAAAGATTCAAATTTAATAATTGTTCTAATATACTTAACGTAATTCCTTGAAGGAATTTGCCATCAAGAATTTCTTCCAAATTGAAAAATGTCTTACACTGTAGGGCATTATTAAAAAAGCCATATTCTTTATCCCTCATGAAAGAGTCTTTATGTTCTGATATCTTATTTATTATAGACTCATGAAATTAAGTTTTACCTAGAAACCTTATCCCCAGGAAAAATTGGGGAGTAATCTAGAGTTTTTACCAAATTATAAAAAATTTTAAAAATCCAGAAATCTATTCTATGCAATATGCTTCAAAGGAAAAATCAAGACATTCATTCTAAAACCTTAATTCATTTTCTGAATATTTTTTTTATTCAAATTACTGGTTTTGAACAGTTTTCAACAAGAAATATTTTAGCTATCCAGAAACAATACATAATTCTAAATGCTTTTGTCATAATTTATTCACAAATAAACATAAAGACACAGCTATTTTGATGAGTGGTAAAAACCAATCATACTCTTAGTAAGTCTATGGGGAATCTCAATTTTACAAATAAAGAGGTTCACAATTATGTCAAGGTATTCATTCAAGGTGACTGGATTTGTAAATTTTTTATATTTGGTAATATCTATGACCAGACAGAAATTTTGAGACACTTTGAATTTAAAAGGCTTTTTCCTTAAATTAAAAGATTATGAATAACAGAGGGAAATTATTTTTCCTTTCGTCTTTGGGGACTGCTTTCCAGAACCATTTGGCATAGGCTGCTGGAATAAATACAGAGAAGATTCCAGATTCTTTTATTTTTTTGAGCTCAAGAAAACCAAACTACTTTTAATTGTTTTGTTTTTAAAATAATACTTTCTGTTAATTATTTCTAAGTACACTATTCACTGTACTATGTAAATACCCACCAAATAAAAGTACACATTTTGCTACATGTAATTACATGCATAGTGCATAATTCACCTCTATACCCTAAATGTATGTGTAGTTATATAATTGTACCAAGAACCTGCCAAACTTGTAAGAACAAACTATAATGATTTCTAAACAGTAGACGCTCCTGTTCACCACCTTCTCAGCCTGTCTCTGGTGACAGCATTTTCAGTCTCTAATACCCTTTTTGGAATCTTCAAAGACTTAATTTCTGGCCTACCGTTTAACCCCGCCTTCCACTTCTGGACAGCATATGTTGACGACACTTGCTCTAGGTATCTTTCTACACCTCTAATGATTACATTCTGTTCTCCTCCGCTTGTCTTAAACAAGGAAGCTTGCAGCTTGGTCTTTCAGATGGAGGTGACTTACACTTTGAAAATACATCTGCCTTAATAGACTGAACTGCTCGTTGCTTTAGGACTTCCAGGTTTCTAAAAGGGTACCTGGAGCCTTTCGTTACCCCACACACTTCCAAACCCCACTTCACCAGCCACTTACCCCTGGCTCCAGTCTCTTTCTACCAAACTTATATGCTAAAATAAATCTTGTTATTTAGAGTTTATTGGAATATCACCTCTCACTTTTCCCTTTTTACCTCCTCCTCATCATGGGACGCCCACGTAAATGTCATATTACATATTTCCTGTACACTGTTAAAATAAATGACATCCTATATGACTCTCACTGATGTCATTGTGAATCACTAGAAATTAATAGTGTGCATTGTCAGTAGCATGAAAGGGCTTGAAATATGTAAAGCACTTTATAAATATTATTATCTTGCTTATTGTAAAGTTCAAGTTCTCTGCTAAGATCTTATATTAATTCCTTTTCTTTCCTCCTGGGAGTTATGAGCCATGTGCATTCTATTTATATTGAGCTTTC